TAATACATTCTTAATTCTGGTAAAGAGTTTAATTCAATTCGAAACCCCACTTTGAATGAATACATATTTTAGAACAAACCACATTATAAAAATATAACCTAGCATGCAAATTTAACACATAACAAATCTTATCACTCCAATTTCTATTTTTATCGAATTCCCAATAAAATTCAAGAAATATTATTAGTTTCACTTTCAGTTTGTCTGTTCCGTGTCGAAGTAAGCTGCCGAAGTCTAAGATTTACACAGTTTTTACATGATAAGGTTTCACGTTATCGCCTTATATCTGATAATTAATGGGCAGCCATTAAAAAATAGAATTATTTGTCTTAATTGATCTCGCTAGCCGTCGAATTTGATCAATATATTACCGAACATATCTTAATTTTTTTTATTTTATCCTAAAAGTATGCAATTATTTTAGTATATAATTGAAATAAATTTAAATGGAAATTTGCTACTTAGCAAATCATTTGTGTGATCCGAGTTTGTTTTTTATTAGAATTAGAAATACCATTATGGAATGCAGTTTTTCTTTTGAATAGAAAAATTAGCACAAATATTACGATATTTTCAAGGGAGTTATGGACTCATAAAATATTTTTTTCTTTATTTCATATTCAATTATAAAAAGGATTAATTTTTTTTTGTTGTTATTTTACACAATCATATATATAAAAACTATTAAATTGTGATATTTATTTTCAAGTTGTTTTTAATTACAATTTTTAATTATCCAAATGTTTGCAAAAAAAAAAAACAACAACGCATATGTTTAAATACAACAACGTTTCAACTTTTTTTTTTCTACATTAATTATAATTTTTTTTTTTTTCATCAGATGACATCGATCTTGGAATTAATGAAATAATTCACCTCAATAAATTCAAGTTTAAGTAATTGTATTGTACAATGCATGTACATGTTTAATGCAATTGCAATAATATTAAATATTTATTAATAATAATAAGTAATTATGAATGTTTTATGATATTGCATCTTATACATGAAAATTCATAAGCATATATACACAACAAAAAATATACATAATAAAAGTTAATAAATTATAGGTAATGAGTTGATTATGTGTGCCCATCATGAAAAAATACTAGTTTTCCTAGTTTAGTTGTGGTTGTTCTTTCTCATTGAATTCTCTATAGTAATTATTAACAATATAATTAAAATTCTACTTAATTATGTTATTTTATGCTATACACTGTGATAGCCTTTTCTAGTACGTTTGTTTATTGGATTGTTAAGGTCTCATATGGTTTAAATTGATTTTAATTTGTTTTCACTTTTTAATAAATATCATAAAATATTCATTATTATAGCAATAAATTAGTACTAAATTATTGTGATTAATTAACAGCATAGAAACAAATTAGTAATTAAAATAGATTCTAATATATTTTGTTTGGGAACAAAGCTTGGAAATTAAAAATAATTTAACATAGCTTGGGAATATAAAAAAAAATCAAAATTATTCAATTCGAAAAAATAATATTATAACTGTACAATGACTACAAATACGTATTTGATATTATAATAAACTAATGCCGAATTATTTCTAAATTTCATTATAAGAATTATTTAGGTATTTCCATTTTCTTTGACATAAGTAGTTATTTTTAGTTAAAATTTTGACTAAAAATTAGAAAAATTGTTCATCAATTCAAAATTGTCGTATGAGTTGAATACAAAAGGAAGAAATAAAGCAAATTTGTATAACAAATTTTCCTGTATTTTTGACTCCCTAACACAAAATACCTCCATAAATTCAAATTCTCTCTTAGGCGAAAAATTTTCACGTCATTTATAGGATCTTTTGTGATTCCTAGTCCCACTTTCATTAGTATTATAACTAGACCCATGAGAAATTGCAGTATTGGAGCAAGTCCACCACCCCGCATTCATATAATAAGTGCTCCAAAGTTGCGTCGTCCTCCAAGCAGAGATGGCAGATCTTGCCCTCCCCATTGTCTATCCTTTTCAAATGGAGTACATCGATAGTCTAAAATCTGAATGACCACCAAGTGTGGCCAGTGTCCGTCCTCTTGGTCCTAAGTGAGATATTTTGAAGTGAAATAGGCCTCGGCAATTATTCCAATGATTACCCCTAGTCCATTCCTTCCAATCATTTAACCAACTGTACTTACCTAAGTAATATTTTAAAAGAGTTCAAATTTAGCTTAAATGCTTATAAACAACATTAATACACAAAATATAAAAATAAGAATTTGATTGTAAAAAAAATAATGCTTTTAATTGGACTTCTTTACCAATATACATGTATACTATATGTAAAATTATTAACATGTCCTAAAATTTGATATGTTTAGGTACGTACTTACTAATTATAATCATCTTTAAAAATAAATCACCCACCAATTTTTTTTTCTAAATTCATATTATAATTTAAAATAGTTGAATAAAAAATGCGCCATAACAACATAAAAGACCAAGTATAATTGAAATTCATAGAAATAACAAAAAAAAAAAACACAGGAAAAAAAGTAAAACATCCTACATAAATTTTACAAATAATCGGTAGAAAATTATTTAATAAGCAAATAAAAAAATATAAATAAATAAATACATATATATATATGTGTATAATAAAAAATTTAAAATAATTTGAAAAACTTTGTAAACATCTTAAAAGCAAAGAAAACATCGAAAACTATGCGTGGGTTTATGCCAACTAACTCTAGGATATTTCCACGAAAACTAAAAATTTTTAAATAATTTAAACTTTTTGACAAAAGCGAGGCTTATATCAAGTTTTAATAATTGAATCTCGTTAAACTCTAAAAATGTTAGTCAAATAATTCTGAACTTTATAATGGCATCTAACATTTTTATATTGAAAGTGTTCCTCATTTACATTTTAAATAATAAGGAAATATTTGATTTATAATATCATACCAAATTTGAAGCTCATCTTCTTTTTGCTATAAGTTACTTAATTTTTTCTTTTTATAATTTATTCAATAATCGTGTATTATACAATAGCTATAACATGTGCGAGTAACAATTATTATTATTATGTATTGGTTTTTTATTATTCATATTCATATACATACACACATATTAATATATTATATAGGTATAAATGTTAAGTGTATTGAATATAAGTATAAAAAGCTTATGTCTAATTCATGCATATAAATTTATGCATATAAAGAAAATGTAATCATAAATATATATATATATATATATATATATATATATATATATATATATATGTATATACATATATACATAACAACCTGTACATAAGTAATTTTGCATAAATAATCATAATATTATGGTGTATTTTAATTTGATCAATATAAACAACACAATATCTATCGGAGAAGATTATTAAATAATATTTGTTATCCCATGCGGCCAGACGTTTATGCAATTAATTTCGTTTCTTTCATACATTGGTTTTTCAAGATAGTATGTATATTAATTAGTACAATGAATATATATCACATAGTGGTGAATTTTTAGGATTATAAAAAGCTTAAATATTGAACGCAAACTGATATAAAAGTCATCCAACGAGCCAAAATTGAGTTTTATTCAAAAACTTCACATAAGTACTGGTTCAGTAGTATTTCTTTTCGGAAACTTCTGAATATTTGAACTTTTTGAGGTTTATGAAACGATATTATGATAATTCTTTTACTTAAACTAATAAAATCCGCTTCCCGTCTAAGAATAACGCCTTGATGCTCGTCGTCATCCTGATATTGTAGAATGTAATAATACGTGGTGAGACATCTGGTTTTGCCTTAAGCTATGCGGTTTCTTAGCCTGCTTAAAATCTAAATTGCTAAATAGTTTATAGAGTTGCATATTCAAAAAAAAAAAAAATTAAAAATTAATGAATTTAAATTAAAATTTTTTTTAAATAAATAACGTGTAAAAATAGAACCAGGTGTACTATTATATATGTATGTACATATTATGTTAATATTTTATTGTACATACTTTTAAAACTCCATATAAAACTAAGACTGCAAACGCTAGTAAAAATTTATTCCCATATTCACTGCATAATAAACAGATTAATGTATGAAATGCTTATTCACCACAAAATTTTTTTTTTCTTACAGTAGTATTACTTAATATAGCGTAGCTTATGTTTATATTTGTAAGCCTTAAATTAAAAACTTAATTTTTTTTCAAGTCGACTTAAAATTAGTTTTCAAAAAAAAAAATTCTCATTTATGTTCCCTTTTTAATTTTTATGTTTTTATTTTTCTCTTCTTTGCACACAAGTGTACACAAGTGTTTTTTTTTACAATGGAATGGAATTTTTACATTATGATTTCGTACAAAAATCATTATGTGGTGTGATGTGGTATGATATTATGCCAAGTTCAAGATTGGTGTGGTGAATTTTTATTTTAATTCTATTTTTGTATGTGTTTTTTGTTTTTTTTTTTTTGCAATTTTCTTCTCAAAAACAGATAAAATGAGGTAACAAAAATATTTTATTACAACATGCAAAAGTCGGTTGGCGGCGGCTTAATTTTTATTGTCTTTATTTGTTTTCTTATAGTTTTCGTTTTATTTTTGAGTTTATTTAAAATTTATGTTATATGTTGCGGTGCGGCTCATATGCAGTTTTTTATGTTTGTTTGTATTTTATAACAATGTATGTGCTTTAAGAGACTTATGTGAATAAATTTAATGTTTTTCTTATTTAAATATTTTTTTATTTAAGAATTAAAATAAAAAGCAAAAAATAATTTAAAACAGCTGACTTGCCTCTATGTACATATATTTTTTTTTTATTTTAATATTATGCTAGTGGTAGGTCGTTTAGTTTGATGAATCACTTCCCCGATTCGCAAGCTTTTTGGATAATACAAAAAAAGAGAAAAACGAAAAAAAATATTATGTATGTAAGAAAACAAGAAAAAGAAGAAGAAAAGGAAAATTTTGCTATGCGGACGCAAAATCAAGTCTTTTGTTTAGTTTGTTATAAACGACTGATCGATTCGGTTGTGTATGTTTTTAAAACAAAAATTTCATAATTAAATTTTTGTTTGTTAAAAAAGAAAAAAATTTTGCAGTACATTAAATCATTTTTTTTTAACTCTTTTTAAGCACGTAAACGGTTCCGCGTTTTTTTCTTTTTCTTTTTATTAAGTAAGAGACGAAAAAAAAATTAGATTTAATTATTTAATTAAATTTTGGGTTATGCATGTTTATTTTATTTAATTTTATTTTTTGTGCATGTTTTTGGTTAATTATAAAAATTTTTTTTTTAATTAAAAAAAAAATTCAAAATTTAAGTTTTTATTAAAATTAAAATTAATTTATTTTTGTAAGAAATCATGTAGAGAATTATGTATTAAATGTGTTTTGTTTTCGAAAATTATAATTTAGTGTTGATTTTTCTAAAAAATATTTAAAACAAATTACTTAATTGAAACAAAAAAAAAAAATTCAAAATTTCAAATATGGCGATTTCTTCTCAATTTGATTTTGAAACAAAAATTGATATAAATTTTTTTTTTTTGTCTTTTTCTATTAATTTAACAGTGATTATGTAAGAGAGATAGAAATATATGTAGTTATTAATTTATAAATGATATATGTATAATGTTGATAATATGAAATGATAACGGTATAACAATTTATGTAATTTTCGAAAATTTCAATATCTTTTTTCAAACTTTCTGATAATGATTTATTATATGTATGTATGTGTGTGTTTTGTATTTTGAAAAATTAAATTAAACATTTTTTTTTGAATAATTTCATTTTGATTACTGTTGTAGTTAATTGTAAATAGGTTTTTTGCAAAAATAAGAATTAAAATTAAAAATCAAATGATAAAACTCATCTTGTTTTACTCAAATAAATATGAAGTGGTATACTTAAAATTTAAATTGAAAATTAAAGTGCAACAATTAAATTATTAATTGCAATTTGTTAAAATTAAATGATTTTATAAAATCTTAAACTAATTTATGTACATATAATTCTAATGTGCTTATTATTTGGCAAATGAAGTATTAAGAAATTGAGTAAATTTAATTCTAATGAAATTTGGTAAAAATTCGAAAATTGCAATTATAATAATTTTTGAAACTGTAATAAAATATGAAAACATCCGTTAAGAGTAAGAAAACATTAAAAAGTGACTGTATAATAATATAAAGATTAAAATACCAAAGTGTTTTCACATTTACACATACAATGTATTTATACTTATAATATAAGGGATGTTCAAATTTTATATCGATTCTTTTCTTATATTCTATTTAGAAAAATATAATTGCATTTATTGAATTTAGAATAATATAATTACATTTATTTCAAATTATTAGCTAAATGTTAACATCATGTACTTACAATTTTTATATTAATTTCAAAATGAAAAGTTAATATAAGGCTCCAAACAAATGCTAATAAAGCTCTCATTTCATAATTGTTCAGGAATTTTCCCAATGTTCTTTAAAGCTTAACACTTTCGATAAAAGTTTATTAGAGGCTATTCAAGAAGGTATTAGTTCTAAGTAGTTGTTCATTGTGAAAGAGAATTTTTTTTGGTAATCCAAATAATTCCTTTCTTATAGCCAGTGCATTTATAGTTGTGTGCTTATTAAAAAATTCGTATTTTTAACAAAATTAACATTTTCTGCTTATGAAATTTTAAAAATTTTATATGTTCTAAGTCTCTTAAACTCAAAATTCTATTATTTATTTTTTATTAATTTTAATTTTGCCAAATTTCTCAATGAATATTTACCTATCTTTGTATTAATGTTTAAATAATAATTATGTAATTGATTTCAATAAGAAACTATAAATAGTTTTTTTATAACCTTAAATGGTACAATTACAAAAATATTTATTATTTAATAAATTCAATTTTAAAAATACTCAAATGTTATAAGTTCCAAAAAGAATAAGTTTAATTATAGGGTTACTATTTTAAATTATTATATTGTAGTTTTTTAATAATGTAAAAGAATGCTGTAATTATTGTCTTAACAGATTGAAAATAATTTTATTATAAGTAAATGGTTTGTTGTAAGTAATTATATAGTGAAAAAATATACTGTAAAAAATTATTCTAAAACAAAAAAATTAATTATATTTATTTAATAACTAACATTATTTAATGCTTGTAACACCAATACATCATTTAATAACATATGAAAAATTGTAATAATAATAATGTTATGTCAGTTACTATTATAATAGTAATTCACAAGATGTTAAGTTTTTTGTTCATTAAAATTTTCGTTAAATGCTAATATTAAGGTTTAAATAAAAAGAAAAAAAAAAACGTTCTATAATAATTACATATTATTAACTAATAAATTATTCAAATTGTTGACATATTACAAAAAAAAAAACGACAAAAAAACAAAATTTAAAAAAAAATATTTTCACAATTTATGTTTTTTGTATTTATTATAATTGCCAATATTGCTGAGATAAATTGTGTATAGTTGTTTCGGTTAATTTAAGGGTACTGACATTACATTAAACGGATGTAAAGTGCAATTAAAATACTATAAATAAAATTTTGAATTTTTTTAAATATTAAAAGTAATTCAATTAAATAATGCTTTAATGAGGTAGTTTTATTCCGATTCCTAAAATTTACTTCGATCCATGTAAATTTGATTGTATATAATTGGTACGGACACTAGTTTCCAAAATAGGAAAATATTTATTGTTAAAAAAGCTAATTGTTGACATTACAAATAGTAATAAAATGTTGAAAACAATATTGACAAAAAAATAAATTCGCGTCATACCAATGGTTTGTAATGTTTGTAATAAATCTTCAAACATTTGCATACTTTTAGGAACAAATATTGCATACTTTAGGGGTGAACCAAATTTGAAGAGACATGAAAAATTATGCTGGTAATTAAGTTATCTAAAATATTTATTCATCTTGCAAAAATATTGTCCCCGCTGCTAGATTCACAAATTTAAAAAAATTTTGATAGTTTTGACACAATAAATTGTCAAAATACTATAAAGAAAGAAAAATATTTCAGTCTTAACACGTTTGTGTATAAAATTTTAGCTAAGTTGTAGAAGATTTTTGGGCAGATGTAGAAGTGACACGTGGTCGGACATTCTGATAAGCAAACGGGGAGAGTGTGACTAATTCGCAAATTTTTCTAATTTTATTGAAAATGTGCTTATAACATTTATGTTTTATGATCAAATAAGTGAAATTGAAATTATAAGCTCTAGTATGTTCTGGAATTGTTTTATGTATTATACGTCACACAAATACCGTTATTCAAAGTACTCTGCGTTTTGTACTGCAATCAAACATTTGCTATATTTTTGCATAATGCATTATAAACTTAACGATTAAATAAAAATTATTCCTCCTCTATTCTTTTTTTTTTTTCTTGTAAATTTTTTGAAAAAATAAAATTTTTTTTTTTGTATTTTAACAATTTTCTGTTATGATAACATTACAGTACACAATATCTTAAATATTTATATAAACATAGTTTTTAACTACCTTTTTTAACTGCGATTTTCTATTATATGCTTTTTTCATACACATACATAATTCGATGTTCTTGTTTTTTTAATATAAAAGGTATGCAGATGTATAATTGACTACCATGTATATTTAAATAACCGCGAAAAAAAAAAGAAAAAAAAAATCATTAACTGAGAAAACGTGACGAAATTCCAATAAAAAAAGGCCAACCAAAACAGAAATAAAAAAAAAATTAAATCTTCACTATCAAAAAAAAAAATTGAAAAATTAAAGCAACACAGCATTTATTATGTTATGAAGTCTTTGAAGGTGCGGTAACTTTTAATTCAATATTATAATAGCAATACTTACACTACACAGACTTACAGTACACAGACGTTACTACACAATAGTAGTAACGTCTTACTTCGTCGTCATCATCATTGTCGTCGTCGCCTTCGTCTTCGTCTTCGTCGTCGTCTTCTTCGTCATATTTATTTTAATAAAATATTGTGGTATGCACGTATGTATATTTAAAAATTATTTTTCTCTTGTTTTTTTATTTTACTTATACTTTTTATAATACCAAAACCAAAACAAATCTTACCTGTGCAAATAGATTGAGACGGCGGCGATGGTGAGAAAACAATCAAAAAGAATCACAAAATAATTATTATCAATATATTTTACTACACAGGCAACCTAACCTAACCATATTGCTTTTGGAGCCAAGAAAAAATCAAGGAGTACATACTGACATATTATGTACGTCTGAAAATAAATGTTAAAAAATTTCACTTTCATTTGACGATTCATTTATATAAAAAATTTTTATAGCCATAAATATAGCACACACATGACACAACACTGACAATACACACATTAAATTCATAGATATAGCACTAAATATGGTATAGGTAAATACAAACATATATTCACACAGTTAAAATACACAACAGTTAAAATACTCCCAATCCGTAGAAATATTATGCATATTATTCGTTCCTATATAAAAAATATCCACCATATATGTACGTAGACCACTGTCATGCCACATGTAGTTAAAATACGAGAAAATATTTTTATAAAGGAAAATAAATGTAATGAAGTAAGAAAAAAGGCGGTTTAATTTATCATTAACCCATTAATAACTGATGATATTCATTTATTTTCTTCTTCTTCACTTTTTATGAATAGTGTCAATGGATTTTTATTATTTTTTTTCAACGCTTCTCTCTTTTTAATTCTAAAATATTCAATTATTACGTAATGTATGTAATGAAAAATGATAAATGAATGCCAACCATCATGATTATGTTACTAAAGATGAATTAATTTTTTTTTTTTTAATTTTTGATTTTGAATTACATGTATTATTGTGAATAAATAATTAAATATTATATAAGATTCTTTGTAATGAATTTGTATTGTTATCATGAGTGAAGTTATGCAATATGTATATAATTTAATTATAGTTAATGAAAATAATGAACAATAACATTGTTGTCTCATCTTTATAGTATATTTCAATTGCAAAATTATTATAGGAATTGAGAGATTTAAAAATTTATAAGTCATATTGTGAATTATTTTTTAAAATTTCAATAATTATTCTAGTTTTATTATTGAATGAAGGTGATGATGCGCCAAAATAAATCCTTACATGATCTTCATA